GGAATCGGATTACAAAATTTGTGCTCTGTTAACAGAAGATCTTGCTATAGCGGTGGAGTTTGGGTTTGCATGACTTTAAATCTTTTAGATTTAAAATCCGTTGAACTTTTTTACTAAACCAACTTTAAGAGCTTCACAATAGCTTTCAATAAATCTCCAAAAATCATTAAATCCCTTTTTATTAATCAAAGTATGGAAAATTAAACGACCATTATCCCCAGCAATTCAAACTAGCCCATCAATAATACATTAACATCACAATAATAAACACTAAAATTGAACCATTTACAATGCCTTTAACGCCATCAATAATAAAAAATTTCGATAGTCAGCGCAGTTAAGCCACCCAAACACCATTTATTCTATCTATCCATCAATAAAAACAACAACATAAAAAAAATGTTAATTACACTTTAATGTCATCAACTCACTACAATGATCTGTAATTAAACCTTTCGTTTATGTTCACAATGTTTGCACATTTTTCATGAACAATTAACCATTGAGATATTCTTTTATACACCTTTCCAATAGCACTCGTGCTGAAAAAAAAATCCGCATGTGTGGTTGTTGAGCAAAAAAAGGGATAAAAATGGAAGGAAGAAAAGAGAAAGAGGGAAAATTTGCATAATTGGAAGGAGCGGCAGTTTATTTTCATTGATTTTTTTGCCACTCATTCATTCAATTTCAATGTCGATGAGGTTAATGAATCGTAAAATCGAATAGATTTATGGATTGTCAGCGAAGTTTCTTGTGTTTGTTAATATGGAAATTTGAAATCCTTTGACTTTGTGGCACATCTTTAAAACATTAGGTTTGCATCAGAAGGTGACAAGCTCATGAGTTCTTTAGTGATAAGCTGAATTTAGTTCTGTTTTAGCAACTGGATTGGCAAAAATCAATTTATTAAATGTTGATCCTTCAGTGGACTATGACGATTAATATAAACACCAGAAATGCTTCTGTTTAACCAAAATAATTATAAAAGAAGCATCTTCAAATATTGTTAAAAGAAGTCAAGTTTAAAAATGTCTACAAAGCTTTCAGTACAATTAGACTAATCTATTGAATGATGGCAATATGGAAACAACCTTGACGATACGTTAAAAAGCTGTTTCTACTTTTTCTAGAACTGGGAGTCATTTTTGATGGACTCTCGAATTTATAATACATCCATACCTTTTCCATTCATAATCTGCTAAAATCCATTCAATCCTCAACAAGACACAAACTGCCCCATTGAGAGATAGAGACAGAAAAAAAATCATATTTAATATTAAATCAATTCCAGCAAATTATGAAACGCCAAATTGCACTTCCAGGTCAATTTTATTATAAAAAAAAAAAAAATTTGAAGCACAGCATTTTTATCCTCGTGTATCATACATATGTTATTAAAATTTTTCCCCGTATGACATGCCACACATGTTTGTATCCTACTCGCCGTTACGAGTCAGACAAAGCACAAAAAAAATTTAATTAATTTTATGCTCTTTTCAAAATTAAATTATAAATCTCATCACACTTGAATTGTTCTTCATTTCCACTTCCATCCTTTTTCTCGTTTTCGTTTCATTTTTTTAATCATCCGTGAAATTTTTTTGAGGAACAAAAGAAAATCAGAAAGAGATAAAGGGAATTGGCTTATCCATATTTAGATCAAATTGTTCAGCATGAAGAGAAACAGCAAATTTATTCCAAACAGCGTGGATAAGAAAAGTTTATTAAGAAGTGTGATGTGTTTGGAATGGAAAATTAGTGGCTTTTTTTTTTGTTGCTGTATAGCAGAAGAAATGTGAGGAAGGGAGGAGAAGAAAATTTGCATTTTAATAGCTGAACGCGTCAGTTTACAAGCGGAAAAACGAGAGGCATGAATCGCTAAAACTTTTTCCTTTTCCTCCACCTCCCTTAGCGTTTGTTGTCGTCGTGTACGTGGCATGAAAAAAGCAAATTGAAAACTTTTTTTTTTCTTCCTTTCCTGTCTAACATTTCAAGTAAAATCGGTTATATATATCTGATGTTAACCAATTTAAAGTTTTTAAGTACTTTCGAGTATCGAGAAATGTTTTGATGACAACAATAACAACTCATTTCCTCTGCTGATTATTGCTTGTTGTGATATTTACCATTTTTATAAGTCACAAAATTTTCCCAAATTTCTTTTCAAGGTAAAACGTCTTCAATTTGCTATTTGACAATTAAAAAGTTTCTTTACAGCTAGGGTAAATGACCTTGAAATTTGCGCAACTTCACACAAGAAAATTTCATTTGCTTCAAGCTCTTCGGAGGATTGAAATTGAGCCCTACTAACGATCTTGAAATGCAGGGAATCATTGATATTTTTGTTTTTCTATGGATATAGGAAGCTCTGCTGCGTCAATGCAGAGAAATTTGACTTTTAAAGTTGAACTTTGAAATTTGCGCAGAAAACTTTGAAATTTGCGCAAAAAAACTTTGAAATTTGCGCACTTTTTTGACAGCAATATTGAAACTTGGGAAAAATATTGTTGAAACCATATCCAATTTTAAAATACATTAATCAAAATATAAGGGAAATGATGATGTATATTACCAAATTATATGATTAGATTTAGTTTCGTGAAAATCCGTGAAAGCTTAATGTTCAACAGGACAATCTTAGATGTATTAGGAGTAAATTCCAGCGTGGGAAAAAAAAAACACTAGATAAATGGTTCCAAAATAGTTCAAAAGCACATAATAAATTCAAAAAGGAACAAGCAAAATGATGTATCCATAGTAATTCAATTTTAAAATTTAGTATAAAGTCTAAAAGCTATCTTCATTTTATTGCCTTTTTTGGCCGACCACGTTTCCTGATTACTTGAGTTGTACTTCATGTTTTTCCTTTTTAATATTCATAATTTTGTCAAGCAATTCTTTCTTTTTTTCTCGGTCAATTCATTTTTGAGCTTTCATATCCTCAAATTCCTTTAATTTTTGAGCAGTTTCCTTCAAATCTTCTGTAGTTTTTGGATCGCCTTATTTGGCTGAATCTATACACCACTTTGCAATGTTGACTTCTTCTTCAGTTGTAAGGACCTTTATTTTTCACTGCGCAAATTTCAAAATTTTTCATAAAATCTGCGCAAATTTCAAGGTTCAAAAACAAGCCATTTTAAAAATGAATTTTAAAGCAGTTCCAGGTATCATTTTGAATTGGAACCATTTGAAAAATGTTAAGCAATGTCAGATCTACATTTTCTGATACCAAAATTTAATCTATACCAATGCATGCATCTCAAAATCAAAATGTAAAGAAATTTAAGTTTTGTATGTGAGTTTTTAGTAATAAATTATTAAGCTTTCTAGTGCCTTAAGACCACTAAAAATTATGAAAAAACATCTGTGCTTGAGTTCTACAGACATTTCCCATTGATCGTCTGAATAGAAGTGCAATTTTCAGATATAATTTTAAAATTTTCGTTTTCATACGAGTGCGCAAATTTCAAGGTTGCGCAAATTTCAAAGTCATTTACCCTATTAAGTAACGATTATTAGAATGAAAGATGGAAATCCTAAGGTATTTCTCATACCAAAAGACAAAAACAGTTACATAAGACTTTCTATGACAGTTTACAATTTTTATGACAACTTTTTGTAAAATGTCAAGTGAATCTCGCAATTAGAAGGTAGAATAAATTCTTGGAATTTATGTACGCGAATGTCTTGGATAAGACAGATTTAGAAATAATGACACAACACTTCAGGGAATAAAATGGCAGAAACAATCTGTGATTTAGGAACGAAGAAGCTGTTTATCAGGTGAATCTCATGGGATAATGAATCTTGGATACAGAATTGTATCTTTTGAATGCTTAGCTTAAAGAAACTTTTTATTGATAACTCTAAATGTCATACATTAAGCAGTCAAAGTATCTAAACTTCTGAAAAATACCAAATTTGGAAAAGGCTGGATTCGAACCGACGACCTTCGAGTTACCATACCAAATTTGAGTCAAGCGCCTTACCTATTCATTCAACAAGGAGCTAAACTGCTTGTCTGATTTAGATCCATGAAAGATTCATGTCTGCGACTCAAATTAGAACAGAATCTATTGTATCACACCCTTTAGACCTACAGTTTATAGTGGCAAGCTCTGCACATTGCAAAGACACGATTACGTCATAAGACCTGATGTACCCTGCAATAAACCTGGTCACAATTCGTGTGCGCAAGATGCCGTAAGGAAGTCATCCAGATGCTAGTATATCCTTGTATACGTAGCAAAGGAGGCACATTCTGTGCCAAAGACATCAATACTATACGTATTGTCATTACTAAGTGGTATTTTCTAGAATCTCCCTTGAAATTATGAATGGAATCAAATCATCCCACATAAAATTATAAATTGAATTAACGTGGTAACTTCCAAGAGACTTTTTCCTCAAAAAGAAGCCGAATAAAGTAAAACTTGTAAATATTACTACAGAAATTTGTTGACATTCTGAGAACATTACGTTATTAGTGGACCAAAACTTTTACGTAATTTTTTGTGATACTTTCAATGACATTTTTCTAAGAATCAGTCGTAATTTAACTCAAAGAAATGTAATTCTGCTGACGCATTGAATTCTCATAATTGACGAGATCCTTTGTGACTTTTAAAACTTTTGCGTAAATACAAAAATTCCCAGAAAGCAAATTTCCAATTTCAATCATTTCTCATGAACATTAAAAAATATTAACACGTCTATAAGTCGTACCTAACCTGACATCAAATCATTACATTTGAATTACTTGAATAACTCCCACTCTATGTTTACATACGAAGCATCCAAAATAAATTACATGCCACATGAGCACTCATAATTACATTTCATTTCTCCTGAAGCAAAAAAAAAAGTTCGATTCAAATTTCCAAATGACAAAATTCAATCCCAGCCGAAGCAAAAATCGATGGCACAATGGTGTTGTTAAAGGTAGGCGTAAGAATATAAAATTTCAGCAAATAAATTTAATGACGAAAAGCAATACTTACATTTTTTATGTCAGAAATTTTTGTAAATTGTCTTCCAAACTCCCATAAATCGACGCCAAGCTTAAGAGCCCAATTCCGTACTCTGAAATGAGAAAAAAAGGAGAAAAAGAATTAGAAAAATAAATCAATGTTACAGTAGTTGAAATTTAATTGAAAGGAAATGACGATAGGAAAAATGGCTTGTAGGTGGAGTTTGTGAATTGACTTTAAAATCTTTTCTCGTAGGTGGAATAGCTGAAACTTTCAAATGAACGGCTGGAAAAAAATGCTTGTCAAAGGGTATTTTACAGTCACGAAATGAACTTTCTTAAGTAGATTAAATGTGAGCAAAGTTTGTTATGTGTGTGACGTCGAGGATATCATGACTTGCTGGAGATTTCAAGAGATAGATAATTGAGTTATTGTTGAGATTTTCAGATAAGTCATAGTCATTGGGCTAAACTAATTTACGATGGCCTGTGGGCTGTTCATGGTTTGTGAGAAATTAAGGGTAATCCCGGTAATCCTCATAAAGTCTTAAGACGTAGGAGCTAAATGTCCCTGATTCGATGTTGTTTTCAGATCAGAGCTACAATTCAGAGATGAAACTATCAGACTGGATAGCCTTAAAATGGTTTAGTCTAGAACAGTGTTGTCCAAACTTTTTTGAGCCACGGCACACTTGAAGGGTAAGCCATGACCGTAGTCGCACATAGTATTCGACTCGTGTAAGTTTCAAAAAGTTTTACGGCACACAGTTTGGAAAACACTGATCGGCACTGATCTAGAATGTCACACCATAAAGGATATAGATAAACAGAACAGATGAAAATAGACATCCAAAACCAGCATAATTAAGTTATCAAAGCAAAAAAACTGATCGCAGCTTTATTTTTTCAAACTCACACAATCCCTTGCCTTTTTACAAAATAGAACATCTTTATTTCTCGCTCAAACTGAGCATCTTCGACCTCTTTATTCATTCATAGTGTCAAATACTAAAGTCATTGTTCCTCGAACTTAAAAGGATCAGATGCTATTTCATTTTATTTGTGGATCGAAAAAAAAACCTTATTTCTATAATGTCACTTAAAAAAAGAGATAAAACCGATGTTCCTCTACACGATTTCATTTTCGAGTGACGACGAGTAAGTAAAAAAATTTAGATTTCATCATTCAACAGATTTATGGATTCAAGAAAATTCGTTTCCAAAGAAGTAACGAAAAAGAAGAAATTTTCATGCTTAATCCTCTCAAATAGAAAAGGCTTCTCTGGTAACTGTCTCGACATCATTGTGAAATAGATTTATAAATAAATTGAAAATGAAATGTCATTGTGCTGCTTCTAGATATCGACTAGGAAGGTTAGGACATATTCTGTTGCATTGAATTTGTTATTCAATCAGCTATTGAGATGCGTCAGAGTAATTGTGCTGAAGACACATATGGAAACTGTAATTCTTTGAGATGCTTACGTCACACAAATTGAATGGATTACTAATGTTAAGAATGAATGAGTTCAATGATTGTCGGAATTTATTCTGAAGATGTTTTTAAATTAGCATATTCATGCTGAATTAAGAAGATTTTTATCCAAAATGTTAAAAGTGACTGAATTTTTTGCAAGATCTAATGACAGGTTTTTAATGCAGTTTCTAAAATTAATCAGTTTAGCTAGATTTTTTTCAAGTAGAGTAAGCTTAGAATTGCAAGCACAAAGGTCCTTAAAATCACACACTCAGAGATTTTATAGCTGATTATTATAAATTCATGAAATAATGCAACAGTTTAACTAGAAAAACAAACAGAGATTACACAAATTTTTCCATATATATACAAGCATCCATAATCCTTCCCATGCTCTCATTTCTATGATTTCATATTCCAGCACAAAAATACACAGTTTTAGAGGAAAATATCTCATAAATATGTTTGCAAATTTCAAGTCTAGAATTTCTTTCATACCAAACTATACAAAATGTATATCCGATATATACGCAAATTCTCGTATGTTGTTATAGCCAAGGATATTGAAGTTCTCTTTTCTGTTCCTTTTTCTTGAAAAACAAAATTCCACAGACGCCAAGAGAGAAAGACATTACACAAAACAAATATTTTCCCTTATCGGAAAGCACATATTATGTAAAATGACAGCATCAGTAAAGTAAAGGAGCAACAATGGGAAGAAGAACACTAGCTACCAATGTACAACCAACGAAAGCGACGATAAATGTCGAATGACAAGGCAATGGAGAGAGAAATGGAAAAATTACTTTATGCTAATAAAGTTGAGCTTTTTGCATTAAATTCTTGTACTTTTCAATAGCTTCATGTCTAGGTGCAGCTTTAATAGAGAAAGATAGTGATTTCTTTGAGCTGTGCATTAAATTCCCGTTCAACTTGTCAGAAATCAAGGAATTTAAATTCTTTGACTTTTACTCCATCCAGTTTTTAATCTCAAACAAAGGGACAAGCTTTGATGAATATTCAAGGCACAAAAAACTGTTAATATGGAAAAAGTATGCGACGCATCAAGAATTTCTTCCTTTCTGTTGTGAATGTTCATTTTTCTGACATTTTATTTGCCATAAGCTTCATATTCTTTTGGGGATTCAAATGGGTAAATTTCGGGATCATGTTTGTTGATTTGATGATATTGAGTAACAGTTGAGACATTTCAAGGAAGTGTGGGGATTGAAAGTTGATATTGGTGTGATTTTTTTTTTGAGGGTTTGAGTTTGGTTCCACTTTAGTATTTGGAAACATTTTAAATAACCCAAAATATCGAGCACATGTCTCAACTCTTTCTTTCATTTGATAAATAAATGATGAGGAAAATTTATGTTTGGTCTATAAATATTGAAAAATGTACATCCATTTTATCGCATCAGTAGTTTGACTCATTCGCAATGATTCCATAAACATACATTTTGCAGTCATAAATAAAAGCACTTCATTTTCACCACATAATTCATTAATATTAAATTTTTTTCGGATTCTCGTCCTTAATAACTTATATTTTATACTTTTTCTTCTTATTCCTCCTTCTTTCAGCAAATTCATCACGAAAAGTGCTTTTTAGTTTACAAAAGAAATGAATTGAAAGTTAAAATGTTAAAAGCTTTTGAGAAATAATGAGTTTTGAGTGGCACTTTAATTTTTTTGAGTAGTTTTGAGTTTCAAGCTTCACACCTTTTAATTATGAGGGTTTATTTAAGAACTGGTGGAATTAATCGTGTTGGAGTGAAAGCTTGTTAGTGTGTTTGAGCTGAATATTCATAAAATTACACGTATGAGTTACTTTAAAGTGGAAACTAGTTGAGAATTTGAATATTCTCGTACTTTTCAATGGTACTCAAACTTGTTCTGTTGTAAGATTGATGTTAAGCTGTATAATAAATGTATCCTTATCTAAATATTTAAATATATATTGAATTTAATATTACAAAATTTCAGAATCATTAAAGCACATCCACAATATTGATTCTATACCTCAATTTAAAATATAGATTATTTTTCCAACATCTATCTCCTCAGGGGCGTAACTAGGAATTTGAAAGGGGGGGGGGGGGGGACAAAAAATTTTTTGTATGGAAAAAGTAAAAGGGGGGGGGGGGGGTGTATTTTTGTGATTTTTTCATAAAAACCCTAGCAAAATAAAGAAATTTCTGTTTACGTTGGAGGATTTGTCCCCGAAATCCCTCCCTGGCTACGCGTATGTCTCTCCTTAATTTTTGCATGCGAACATTTACGCTTTAAAAAATGCCATATCGGAACCTCAACCTCATAAGTCAATTCGGAAAAAATATCAATTATTTTTATTGACAGTCAGACTAAATTAAAGAGGCAATTCAAAATGAATTTTTTAGGATGTTTGCATAATTTTTTTTAAAACAACAAAATATATGAAAAATGTATTGGAATGGCAAGTGAATGAACGAACAACATTTATGATTTCAATAATTGGAAAATTGTGTTTTCATCGCATTTAACTCGCACAGTGAGCAAAAAAATCCAAAAATTGTATACGAGTTGAAGAATAATGAACAGGATAGAGAGCGCGAGAAAAATTGTTTTAGTGTTCAATTTTTTTAAGGTATTTTAACTCTATTTTCAGACTGCATGTCAAAATTTTTTAAAAACAGATCAAACAATTTTTCAAATTTATTTTGACAGTTATTTTTTTAAAAGTCAGATGACCTCTTTTATAGACTCAAAAAGTGCGCTTTAGTCACTGAACTGAACTTCAAAAAAATTTATTATTTCCACTCCGAACTCCTACTGTCGACGTTTTTGCCATAATACATCAACACGCAAACATTCAGCTGGCAGTTAAACCAAAACTGAATGTCGATATATATAAAAAAAATTGTTAAAAATTTCGAGGGGAAAATAAAGGAAATAGAATTCTTGGAAAATTTCATTTCTCTCTGCCTTGGGGGCAACGCGCGCGCTTCACATTCACACACATACGAGCCACGAAGAGGGTGAGAAGAATAAGAAAAAATTCGATTTAAAAAAAGTTTCCTTTCTCAAAAATTTATGTTGAAATAAACTTCGTTAGGGACTATTGAATGTGAAACAATATGGACAATGAAGATGATGAAAAAGAAATTTATATGCGAATGACACTTATGGGCATGTGATGAAAAGGAGAAATTGAAAATTTAACCCAAGGGAAAAGTTGAATGACACAAATTTTGTGGTTGAAGCTTTTCATTCATTTCGCTACTCCGCTTTCTAGTTTTTTTTTTCGTCCTCTCTCTCTTAAATAATAAAGAAAATCTTTATTCACATTTCATTTTCATGGATCATAAATTTTTACTATCGCTTTCTTTATTTTGCTTTTCTTATTTTTCTTGCCATGCCACATATATAAAACGCATACGATAGAGGTTCCAAATGAGTAAATTTCGATACAACAAGAAGGGTTTGCTGCTATTTAGCTTTTCTCTTTGGACTGAAAAAGGCCTTTGACTTTCTTAAAGCACAGCTCTATTATGTCTCTCTTTAAGGCTCTGTAATAAATGTCAGAAAGCTTCTTTTTACTAGGAAATTTATCATAATAATTTCCAGTTGACTCAAAATTACTATAAACAATGT